AAAAAAAAAGAAAAAAATGATCAAAATTCTTAAATCTGTTGTATTATATCTATCATATATCTTTTGTCTTCAGGTGTTGATGTTATTCATATGCGGGGCCTTGGTATTGCTGGCATACTGCTCCGACATACACCAGAGCGCCACCTATCAGGATGTTGTCTACGCCATGTGTGGGAAGTGGGCTCAAGCTGCCTGTTCCCTCTGTATCGTGCTCTATTGTTTTGGGACTTGTATAACATTCTTTATTATCATAGGGGACAACTGGGACAAATGTAAGTATTATAATTAAAATTATTGTTATATAGAGAATGCTTTGCTGTGTACAATGTAGTCAGAGTTTTTAAAAATAATTTTTAGATTTATTTGCCATCAAAGTAGGAAATGGAAGTGATAAGTTTTTTAATTTTTTTGTTTTTCTTTTTTTTTTTCTTTTTGCTGTATATATTTCTGGTTACAATCTTTGCTTTTAGTTCAGAATATTAAAATGTAAATACGGTTGTATTCTTGGATTTCTAGAGATTATACTTAGAATTGATTTGAAAGACTGACAAGAAATTTATTACATATTTTACTTCTATATTTTTCAGTGCTTTATAAAGTCAGGCCAGATTTCTGCTATAGCTGGTACATGAATCGCAAGTTCACAATTAGTATAACCTCTGTTCTCTTCATTCTACCTTTGTGCTTTCCCAGAAGAATTGATTTCCTGAAATATGCTAGGTAAGATTTGAAAAAAGCTAATAAATTAATAAAAAAATTAAGTACTGTTAATTAAAGTCAAGTACCAGGATGTAGAATTGAATGCTGAATCAGAAAAATAACTTCATCGATAATTTAAGACTGCTGTGCTGGATTGATTTGATTTTAAATGTTTTTTTTTAATTTGATATATAAAAATGTTTCATTAGGATATTTTTACATAGTTATATAATAATAGGACATTTTTTTATAGATTATTAGAACCATCTAAGATTTCCGTAATAATTGTGAGGTCATTAAAGGCTCATTATCTTACAAAGCCATTTCATCTTCATGTAATTTATATTAAGTTTAAGTTGTTTTATTTTTCATTCCAGTGCCTTTGGCGTGTTGGCCATAGTTTACATAGTCATACTCATCCCTGTCAAATATTTTTATGCTACTAATTTGGAGAGTGTTGTTGTTAAAACAAGGTACTAAGTTTACTTTATCTTATTAGTTCTACCCAAACATTTTGAATTAATTAGTCTGTTACTTAATAATTGTTTCTACATTTGTCTGTTCAACTTTGATATTAAACCTGCCATTTAAAATCAGATGAAGTTGATATAAACTTGATATTATTTTGATAGCACTTGTTTGTAGAGTACAGAAACTGTTGGCATTGACTTCTATTTACAAATAATTTTTACAACTATTTTGGTATATTTTCAGGCCAGACACATGGATGGATGTGTTTCTAGTGGTGCCGACCATTTGTTTTGGATATCAGGTATTTTTTTAAACTGTTTTTAAATTTCAGAAACTTCGAACTGTCTGTCTGCATTTCTCTCTGTCCAATGTCAGGTTGCTTTACTCCATTTATCTGTTTTTCTAAATTATGAGTTTTAAAATTATTTAAACTTATTTGATGATTTTTATTGTTTTAACTAATACTCTTCCATTGCGTAAATTTATATGCTTAAGATACTATTATTATTTATTGTAAGTAGTATAACTTCAGTACCAAGTATTACGTAACTGTAATGTCAGAGTGTATGATTATTATATTAACTTCAGAATTTCAGTACGACATTGTATTATTATTACTATTATAATATAAATTATTAACTAGTTACATTGATAATAATTTCAGTGTCACATCAGTGTAGTGCCTATATATTCCTGTCTGCAGAACAGAACTGTGAAGGAGTTTGCCAAAACTCTCACAGCTGCCATATTCATCTGTCTCATCACCTACACTGTAGGAGCAACTTTTGGTTACTTAAATTTCGGAACTGCAGTCAAATCAGACATTTTGTCCTCTTATAATGCCACAGCAGATGTCTTAGTCGCTGTGAGCATGATGGCCGCCAAGACATACACAACTTATCCAATATTATTATTTTGTGGCAGGTAAGGAATAGAGAGGATGAGACACTAAAACTTCTGCTAAATAAATAAATTTTTTTATTTCTAATATTTTACACTGCTCTCACTGCTTGTATTGTCTTTAAAATTTTGGTAATAATTTTATCATTATATACTATCCAACTGCTATGCAATTGCAGAAAAAAATAGTATCATTGTAATCATCATCATCACATTTATTAATTGTTATTATTATTTTTGTAAGGTGTACTAATTGTCTTATATAATTTTTTTCTAAATTGATTTTCAAAACTGTCCCATTTTCTGCAGGGCTGCCTTTGAGAGCCTCTGGGTGGAGCTGTGNTCCAGAGATATTGCAGAAAATAGGAAATCTGGCGGCCATTTTGTTTTTTTGCAAATTAGACCGTTAAAAACGCAAAATTTCGCTTGGGAACCGGGTTAATCGGAATCAGCATCCCAAAATTATGCTAATGAGCCTGGTTCCCAACTTTTACCCCAAAATGCCCCTACTATTCATCTTTTGTGGAAATCCCACTAGACTATAATATTTTACACTGCTCTCACTGCTTGTATTGTCTTTAAAATTTTGGTAATAATTTTATCATTATATACTATCCAACTGCTATGCAATTGCAGAAAAAAATAGTATCATTGTAATCATCATCATCACATTTATTAATTGTTATTATTATTTTTGTAAGGTGTACTAATTGTCTTATATAATTTTTTTCTAAATTGATTTTCAAAACTGTCCCATTTTCTGCAGGGCTGCCTTTGAGAGCCTCTGGGTGGAGCTGTGGAAACTGACCCCAGAGGATATTGTCCGTAAAGAGACTCTGAGGAGGATAATCCAGACCATCTTGTGGTTCGGCCTGTCCCTGCTTCTGGCTGTGGTCACCCCAAATATCGCAGTGGTCATTGATCTCCTTGGAGGTCTAGCTGCGGTCTTCATCTTCACATTTCCTGGTGGGTTTCATCATTTTTGCTTTTATGAAAATCAGACATGAGCCTTGTTTTCAAAAAACATTTATCATGGGACCCAACACCTTACTGATCAGGGGTCCGGGGGCTGCCTTAGAGCTGAATTTAAAAATGCGGAATTCTGTGTTTCCTTGTAAAAAACTCGTGTCCATTTATTGTTTGAAATAGTTCTAATGGTTTTAATTTTAGCTATACATGTAATTCCTTAACTGGTTTTGAGATATCAAACTGTATGACATGCATCTGCATTTCTCTGGAAAGATAAGGCATTGACAGTAGAGGCGATTTGCCAATAACTTCTGAAAATCAGGGTGTGCTATTTCTTTCCCACGTGTAAATGCAATAATGAAGTATGAGTTGTTAAATTGCCTAAGGACTAGCAGACCAACTGTACAAAATGACAGCAATGGGATACATTTATATTTTTAAAAAGGATGTTTGTTTTTTAACCTTATTCACCTTATATTCTAGGTCTTTGTTTACTGCAAGTTGTGCTAACTCGCCAAAGAACTGAAAAGAATAAACATTCCCAGAGGGCACTATTCATCATGGCGGTTATGTACCTTATCATTGGCATGTTCATATTTGGCGTAACTTTCTCGCAGTCCATCATGGATGATGTTCACAGTAAATCCAGTAAATCACACAAAACAATCTGTGGATAGTGTTGTCATATAACTCGAGATTTGTTTATTTTTGTTGAATACAGAAAAGTTCACTAGAATAGAAAGTTTGTTAGTTGCAGAGGAATCTCCGCCATTTTCTTAAAGTCTATAAATTTTAAT